TAATTTTGAAATTTCGAAACTAAAAAGAAAACATATAAATATAAACAAAATATTTGGAAGAAAAGTACAATAGAAAGGAAGATTGTCTTAAATAAGGAACATGCCTTTAGCTCCCACTCGCATTAAAAAGCGAAGGAATCAAGAAGAAAGTAATGCCGACAGGCTTTAGTACAAAGAAATGTTTATGTTACACGATTAAGAATAAAACAATTTCTATATCTTGCAGCTGCACGTTTATTAACACCTGATGAAACGCCACCGATAAGTAGTCATAATATCGAAACTACATCAGCTCAGGTAAGTGGAGGCAAGCCAAACACATAACTCTTTAGGCTTGGCGCCAGGAGGTGTCAATAATTTAAAAAAGAAAAACGGTTTAAGTGAGTGAATGAATTATGGGGGGCTTGCAGTACATATGTATATGTGAAGTGCATATGAGTAGACATACGTGTAATGCGTTAATGTGCTCGAAACTCGAAAGGCTGATATTCTTAGGTTACAGTCTGCAGACATGAAAAAATCCATAGATCTCTGATAATGAACATCTCTGTGATTGAATTCGATGCGAAAGCCTTCTCGCCTAGAAGAAAACGCGTACAATAGCTAAGCCATTAGTATTTTTGAAATGATTTGAATATATTTCCCTTAGAAAACGGTATCGATTCGAAATTTAGCAATTACACACACTGCCCGATTATGCAACGCTCAGGAAATCTGCTTACGGAGTAGTGTATATTTTTATTTTTTTTTTTTATTTTTTTATTTTTTTTATATTCACCATCTGACGAATACGTTACATTAAATATTTAGAAATAGACATCAAAGTTTCCAAAAACTATGCAGCTTTCTAACTAGGTTAAGATTTTGAACCGAGATGGGCATCTTCGTCTGCGTTTTCGTGTGTCTGTTGTCGTCATTGCGGTAAAAAAAGGAACTGATAGCTTTCAGCGCAGATATTAATGGGTTAATCAATTTCGATTAGTCAATATAAAATACGATATCAGCATTTTGCGAAGCCATCTGAATTGATCTCGCTGACAGGCCCACAAGTAACAAGTTGCCCGCGATAGCTATCATCGGTTTATTCCAAGAATATATGTTTTCTCATTTCTTTTGCTTGTTTTGTTAGCTAACTTGAAAATTATTTGGGCGGTTGAGTTGTATATATTCGTCTTACATTCACATATAATTTATGTATGCGTACATACATATTGATACTTAAGCTTTTGTAAAGATATCTCTTATTGTTGGGCTCAGCGCATTTTCAACTGCTTAATGCACATACGTCATGCAGATGAGTATTAAATTTTTTAGCTTTCCTAGTCGCAATAAACAAAAAATCAAATAAATACTTAAGTATTTAGACTATAATTACATGTTGTATAAGTAAAATGAAATACAAATCAATCAGAAATCATTCAAATGAAGGCAAAATAATTTAAATTGGAAACGTTTAAATGTGAACGCAAGATTGCTAATGCATGTGCGGCTTGGTGACTAATTCGAAGATATATTTCCCCCTTTTTCACAGCATTACAGTTTATTTCCTCATCGCAATAAGTTCAAAGTCATGAACATTTCTATTGTATGTATTCCTTATGTAATTATTAAAACTGGGTGCTATATGAAAGTTATCACCATAAATTCTAGACTTACTTTGCATAACCCAGAAAACATTTTTCAATAAATTATTAAAGCGTACAAAGTAACAAAATTCTATTCGGCCTGAATCGAATACATTTTACAAAAGGAAAAGAACTAAATTTTTATACCTTGTACTATTGGGAGATTGGGAGCGGTTAATTTCTACTATTTTCAGAATAAAAATGTAGAAATTTACATGGTGTATGTGCTGCACTTTAGAAGTAATAACCAAAAAACACAAAAAGCCAAGGTGTTCGCAGTTTCTCTTACATAGGCGTTTGTGCCTTGTAGGCATGACCCTTTGAGAAGTTTGGGTCATTTTCAAATTCTTTTGCAAATCTGTAGTCGATATATTCATTTTTTGCGTACGAGGGAATGTTTACAACAGATAGTACACAGTTACGCAGATAAGCAGACGGACATTGCTAGATCTATTAAGAGTTTGAAGAATTTATACACTTCATGAGATTTTTGAAGCTATCTTCTGCGTGCTATAAAGGTATTGAAGAAAAGATAAACTTTTACGCACTATAATATAGGGTAGGTGTAGTCAGCTTCTCCATCTTTGTCCAAGTACTACAGCACCGCCTATAGAATATACGTTCAAACTTTTCTAGATTTATTTGCTGTAGTTTATGAGTAATGAGCAAACCTTTTTTCCATTTGAAAAACAGAGGTGTTCTCAGTCTACATGATAGCATAGGTGTCCTTTGACCGATTGGCCCATTTGCAGCATGAACTTGCATGCAGGAACTTCCAATGTTTCAATGCGGCCAGCGGAAAGTTTATAATAGACATTACATAGACCGACAGACAGAGATGCCTCAACCTGCACAAAGTCTATTGCTAATCAGCAATGTATATATACTTTGTGGGGTGCGTTAAGCTTCTTTCTGGGCTTTGAAGACGTTTTGACAAAATTAATGCTTTGGTGATGGTTGTAATAGGTGGCATGACAAGCCCTTTTCAACTTTTGTTAATATCATCTGTTAGGCCAAATATCTCACTCTGTCAAAATTACAACTATTTTTTCACTTTAGCGTAAAAAGTCTTTGCGTAGTATTTCATATTTGGTGGCTATTGCTAAAATGTTTGATGGGTTATAAATACATTTGATAACAGCGATCAGTAAATGAATTTGACTAATGCCTGGATGCTTCTTATACGTATATACTCATCATTGAAAAATTCATAATAAGTTCTTCGACTTATTTGTTGCAAATGACTTTATAAAGCACTTTGAAATTCTTTTTACATAAACGAAACGTGCTTTGTAAGTATAAATATCTTCTTTCATAATTCTAACGTAGATGAAGACGGTTTTCTTGCATGGTTGTGAAAATAACATAATCAAAATGTAAGGCAAGTTCGAACGTTACATGATATATCTGGGGCCTGTGAAGTGTTATATAAGTGATTTACACTTGACCTAACATTATCGAAGAGAAAAGTAGAGAAGAATACACAATAAGAGTAGTGAGTCTAATAATGAGCAACGATATTGCATACTTGTAAGCATCATTCGATCAATCTATCTGAATATGAATTAAGTGAAAACATATATTTTGCTTATCTGAAAGAAGATGAAATATTTCACCCAAAGCACATTTAGTGTAGATGTTTAAGTTTTATTTAAAAAGTCCAGCGAAAGAATTTGAAACCGTTTTCGTTTTTTGGATAAAAGCTCCGAGTCATGATTGTGAAGTACATTTTGTTCATTCATCCTAATGCTGTTGCGTTCGTTTTAAAGTACTCTGTTGCCGCGTTTCATAGATCTTTCTTTGATAGATTGCGTATGGATTACCCAACTTGGGTTGCCTGTAAGGCCTTTACATGAGAACAATAAGGTATAATTTATGGTATTTTAAGGCGATAATAAGTGCAGAGTTGTATTTGACGAAGTGACGTAGGGTATTTAATAGTCATTCTTGCTTGATCATAATGTTTTAACTTGTTTATGTTTGTTTTGTTACGTAAGTGTTCAACGATCTCTCTCAGAAAAGCTTTTGAATTTATATTGTGAGAGTATGAAATTTATTGAGATTGTGTAAAAGAAAAGTTCAGAATAAATTTGTTCGATTAATTGTTTGTGGCTATTTCGAGAGCATGAAACTTCCCTCGAGACCTGTACAGAGAAGTAGGAAATGAAAAGAAATAAGCAAAGAAAGGTTACATTCATCTTGAGGGGTCAATATGCACAAATGAGCTGAAAGTTCGTAGTAAAATTATTTACCTAACACTTAGAGAGCTGAATTTTTCTAAACTTCAGATCTTTGTGAATTTTGACCGAAACTTGCAAACGACCATGGGCGTGAAGTCTTATGCCTAAGCCGTTGAAAATTACGCTTTAGGTAAAATTTCATGGTTTTAAAGGCTATTTAAGGAGGAAGGACGAACATTCCTCTCTAAATCAATTCTTCTACAATTACAACTACAAACTGACATGAATTCATTGATTTATTGTATAAGTAAAGTGATTCGAATTGTGCATCAGACAAGGTGCCGGGATGAAGGAGAAGACACCACTATTCGTTTCTAGCAGGCTGAGTAGATTGATTGTTGGAAACTGCTATGAAATATTTTAGAAAATAATCTTCGAAGACTTTTGTCGTTTGAATCCACGCCATCAGTGTTCGCTACAAGCTAAATATAACTTCTTTTTGACATTCTTGTGCGCGGAGAAATTTTTATAAAAAAAACAAAAAAAAATTAAATAAAAGCACAGAGTAAAAGAGAGACAAAGTGATGGAGAGAGCGAAAGAGAGAGAGAGAGAAGGAGAGAATAAAAAATAAAAAATTGTTTACAAACAGAATAGAAGCAGAATGGGAAAACAGAAAAAAGTCCAGTCTAAGCTGCTGATTTACACTTTATCGAATCTGCGTTATTGCATTCGCGCAGCAAGTGTCGTTCAAGCTAGATCGCCGTTAGTAAAATTGGTTCAAGATCTAAGGCTTGAGTAAATCGAACATTTTCCAAAATTACATATCGAAACGATATGTAAAGAATTCCCTAACAAGGGATTGTTTTTGCGATCTGTTTTTTAGTGAAGTCATTAAAGAACTCATTAAAACCACACAGATGGTTTTTTGTTTCTATTATTAAAGAAATATATTCCATGTTGTAAAACAATGAGTTTCTTAAGAACACAATAGTTGATATATAAAAGACTACATCTATGTATATATATATATATGCCTCGATTTAAGTAAATAAATACCGGTTTAGATGCTTATTGTGATTCTTCTTTCTTTTTTTTTTTCCAGTGTTAACGCTAGTGGTAAAGTGACCTTCTTTTGAAAAATAATAAAAATATAGCGTACAGTTATAGTAATTACAATATACAATATAATATTAAAAAAAAAAAAAAACAAAAAAAAAAAATAGAACAAATAAGAAAAATTAAAGAAAACAATAAACAGGAAGAGCATCTGCCTTTAAAATGGTTAGCGGTTCTTTAAAAATAACCGAGCCTGGTGAAACGGTAAGAAGTTGATTTAAAAAAAATTTTCACGGTTATAGCGCCGAAAAAAAACCTATACGAATTCCTCGATCAAGGGAACATATCCACGCATTAAAGTCTGGGGTCGTACCAAATTCGTTCTCCTCTTTCTCATGCCCAGAAATATGTTCTTAATTAGGGTGAGGTATAATATGTTTGCCCGTCTCTAATTGCTAGAATTTCTACAAAATCGAGCGTTTACAAGTTTCAGTATGGGCAGTTGCTATCACCTTGGTTACCTTAACTTGCAAGGACCCGGCCATGTTCATTCTGCAACTAGCAGAATTTTATTTATTTCAATCAAAGACTTGTAACTGTTTATGAAAATTTATAATTATGTACATACGGTATTTAATTCACTGTAAGTGTTCGATTTTTAACATCTTTTTCACCTCTTCAGCTGTCAATAACAAAAAAAAGTGTAGCAATACAAAAGAAACGGTACATATGAAGTTATTTTCAATTTTTTGGCCTTAATTCAGTCCTGGATACCTTTGAGAGATTTGTTGACTATTCGAGGATATCTTATCTAAGACGGTTTGCATGTTTGAATTGAAAATAAATTCGTTTATGTTTTCTTGTTGCAAATACATGATGTTTGCATTTGTAGTATAACACGTCCTCGCAATTATTTTGTATCGAAAATATCAAAAAGCAAGAAAAAGAAAACGTTAAGCATTCCATACGACGATGCTAAGCTTATTTGTTACCAATCTCGTAAGAATTTGAAAATTAATTTGTTTTTCTTTTCACGATGATTTTATTGTAAAATTTTGGAGCAAATTCCCCGCTCAACATTGAATTCTCTTACATAAGGAAATCCAAAATGATCCTGATGCTGGGTTTCTTAGCATCAGTGTGGTGGGAGTGTGTGCTAATTTTGTTGAGCAAACTCTTGCATTTTAGCAGCTTACGTATGACATCCTAAGTGGGTTTATAGAGAAAGTTATTATTTCATCATAACTCGGTGAATGGATACAAATGCGCACATTTATGCATAATTTCCCATTAAGCTGTGGTGTGAGGTTTATGTTCTTAAATATGATGCCGAAGCGAGGCTCATGAACGATTTTTAATAAAGCTTGTAGCAGTTGATCTTGCAATTGATCTGTCGTTGCCCAAATTAGTATCTATTTCCTTGGGGCTCCACTTTACTTTTTTTTTTTTAACAAAAATTCAATTTGATTTATAATTCGCTTAAACAAGATGTTTTAGCAATAAAGTAAATAACTTCTTTTATTGTTTTTCACTTAATGAATTTTTCACGTTCATATCTCACAATTGGAATCTTGAAAACTATGAAATTAAATAAGCAAACAGCAAACATCTTGCAAAATAGAATATTATAGAGCGACTAATTCTCCGTAGGAAGTTGTAATTAAGCTAAGGCTTCCATTAAGAGGTAAGTGATCAGTAAAGCGGTCAGTTGTTTGGCTGCTTAACTGATTATTACCCGATGCTTTTAAGAAAGTTATATGCAATCCTGATGGAATTCTTTATCCTATCACCGTTATCCTAGAAAAGGGAAAAAATGAAAGTAACTAGATTTTCATGCTCTATAATATGGAGTGGGCGAAGCCGATTTTTTTTTTTTTTTTATTTTCAATATAAAAGTTCTTGGCGCATAGGCGTGCGGGCGTTGTAGGTGTTTCTTTTGAAAATTTTGGGCTCTTTCAAATTTTTTTGCAAATTTGTAGGCGACATCCTCCTTTTTGTGAGCGAAAGAATGTTACCATTGATACAGCACGGACAGATGGACATACTTACAAACAGATATTCTTAGGTGCATTCTAAATTTGAAACTGCCCAACAATTTATATACTTTATGCACTATAATATTGGGTAGGCGTGGCCAATATTTTAAATTTGCGCATAGTTAGGTATCCTTTGACCGCTTTGGCTCATTTTCAATATCAGCCCGCGTGCGCGGAAGGACGGGCGGATAGACATGCCTAAGTCGATTTAGAATTTGGTACTGGTCAAGAATATATACACTTCCTTTCGGGCATTGTCAACAAACTGACGACAATATGAATATACCCCACAGCCTTGGGTGATGGGTGTAAAGAAGAAAAATTGTGAATTTTTTAATGCTTTACTGTAAACGTGATTCATAATAATATATTTTTTTTAAATTTGTTTAAGTAAATAAGAAATCGTAGTTGATTATTATTCATATAAATCGCTTGTGCGATAGATATTTAAGACTATTTTATTGGGAATATTCTTGCGCTTATTATCACTTGTAATAAGTTACACTCATTCAATTTTATATAGGCCTACTGCTCAATTCCTTTCAATTTGTAAACTATTCCACGAATTTTCCAGTAAATTGAAGTACAAGAAAAAAGGGGTAATTAAAAGGGCTTATGAAAAGCGAACTCGAACTTGAAATTGAAGAAAGCAGTTATCCTCCCAGAAGGCGTAAATAATATGATCATTTTAGAAAAAACTTCCATTTCCGTGACTATTGTTTCGTTATATATACATATGTACGCATAGTATATTCCTTGGTATGGACTTTTTATTAACTCAAATTTTTGGATTTGGATATACCAGCTTTGTTAAAGGAATACTCAAACTTTGCATAAAGACTTAAAAAATAACACAGATCACTTTTCCTTACCGTCAATCAATGTGGTATCACCGTTACCATACCAGATCGAGAACTTTGAATACCCATAAGAAGCAGCTACGTTTGACAATAGGTTAGCTCTGTCATATTATGGATATGAGCATTTGTAAGCAAGCTTTGAACTTTAACATAAATTGCAATTTGGCTAATCTTTGCAAAATATTAACCTTTAACAAATATGAGATCGGAATCAGTTGCAGTGTATTTGCTAAATTAATGCAAAAAAATATCATTTTCAACTTAAAACTCTCGTTCTCTTTAGCGATAACGTTTGTCTTCAATAGCTGTGTGTCGAAAAAGTTCATCTTTCTTCTTTTCAATCTTAACCTCTTGATGATAACACAATACATTTTCACTAAGTTTCAGGTGTCTATCTTTTTTTTGGAGATTTTCAAAGTCTCAAGATTCCAAAATTTCATATCATGACCAGACTTAAAAACAAATAAAATAAAATAATTATATTCCCTAATAATATCGATAGTTTCATTTTTGCGATCAGGAGAATATTTCACCCAGACATTACATAGACATTCATATAGACAGATACACGGACGGAGATAGACGGACATCGGTTTGAATCGGTTTCAAATTTGATCTTGATGAAGAATATATATACTCTATGAGGTGGACGGAGCTTCTTTTTGGGTGTTGCAAATGTTTTGACAGAGTGAATATACCGTTTACAGTACGGTGATAGGTATAAAAACGACATGTGGTATTTATATGTTTTTCTACGACGTTGGGTATCCAAGCTTCATTGCAAGACAAATGTATAGCTTTCTTCGTGTTTGCTTCGTGTGTTTGTTGTTTTCACTTACCTTGTTAATACGCATATTTTAATCAGGCCGGTACGTTTCAAAAATTTTTAATGAGTCAATTGTTTTTTCTCCACTTAATTACATTGAAATTTTTATGATAACGACTTTGATTTCGTTCTCCAGATTTTTTGTATATGCAGAATTTATTTATAAATACATATTCTACGACTGATACGAAAGCCACGTATTTATCGCATTGAAATGACCTGAGTGGGCCTTGGTAATGTTTTTCAAAAATTGATAAGGTCAAGTCCATTCTAATGGCAAATGGTCTAAGTAAATTTTATTTTATAAATAAGAAAAGATTCATTAAAACATTTATTTCTATAGGACCTTGAAAATGTTTTAAAATTTTCATATAAAAATTTGTTAAATTAACATTCAAGTCTCAATTTCTAATCGACTTTAAATTGACACGAAGTAAAGATTGAAATTTTGATAAATTCTTCTGGTTTATGATACGTTGACAATTAAGACTAATAAATATGTTTGATATTTTATTCATTGATATTATTGATGAACAATGGCTTTACTTTGCGAAGACGAAACAAACAAAAAAAAGGCGGGGAATATATTAATTCTATCGTTCACTTTTGTAGCTTCAGAACACAGATATATGTGTAGTTTTTGTCATCCAATCCTCTGTTTGCCAGCCTGCCTGTTCTATGATAGGGAAATAACTAAAGGAGAGATAAGCTAAAATTTCGACCCCAATTAGTTGACGTTCACAGATTAGGCCTGAATTTGTATCTGAATCGCTTACAGAAATTTCTTTGTATATATTTTCATGCGCAACCCAAAAACTGGAACAGATATTAATTCAAAAGTTGACTTAAACATTGACTAAACTTGCTCAGTACAAAAACCTAAGTTGGTATCGGTTTATTTAAGGAAGAACTATTTAAGAAAATTGTAATTAAAATTCCAAAATAAATGTCGTTTCCTTATACTTGATTTGAATTTTAAGTGATAACGAAAAAAATGTGTAAATCATTTATAAAATTGATAATAAGAACTTAAAACTATCTAATTAAACTCTACATTGAACATTTATTTCTTTCATTGTCGGTGAAGTGTTTTAAGAAATGAATTCTCGTATTTTATTTCAAATCGTATGCACTTGTTGCACCTTAGGAAGAAATTCAATTAAATTATGCGCTATGTATAATTTTTTCATTGACACATTGCTAGGTTTGCTTAATTATTTTACTTCCGCTCTCATATTCAGTTAGTGTTATTGTGTGCGATTTCGCTATTTATAGTTCCTTAATAGTTTGATTGATTTATACAAATTGATGAGTATATGTATGTTTGTATCATTTTATTGAAATTAATATTGTTTCGTGACAATTGTAGCGGCGGTATTGTTTTGTATAGGAAGGATGTTTTTGATAAACTCTAGCAAAACTTAGATAAGGTATGAACTGAAACTGTGTCGATATTTGAAACACGACAACATGAATACGTTTTTGATTGTGTTGTCGTACTGACAATGGTAGACAACGTGAATAACGCAAGTAAGAAAATTA